TATTTAAATAATTTTTTAAAGAAACAGGTTGAAAGGATAAGTTTAAAATGCGTTGCTTCAGAGCTCTTTTATGAAAACTACTTGATTTCCGTCAGGAGGAATATTCCCCATTGAACACTATCGCCTAAAAATCGTATTCCCTAAATTTCATCTCCCCTTACTCAGACTCCATTGAAAGAAAACTCAAACCAAGAATATCAAAGATGAACGAGGCTTCAAGGATATTTGAGTCCGGTAATCCATTCGTGGTTCATCCTTGTACCAATGATAATACCTTGGCAATGTTGGATCACGAATGCTTTGAATATGGGCATTAGTTTCATGTGTACTCTAAATTGTTACAAATTATGAAATGATACTTGAAGAAGATAAACCTAAATTTGAAACTAATGAAATTAACAATAAAGATTATTACTTTCCAAATGAGTCAGTCAATGCCTAAAATATTTTGGAATGATTGTCAATTGTATGTTAACCCTTTCATCAAAAATTGTTCAGACAGGATGTGATATTTACGTAGTCTCATATGTCTCAGAGATGAAACATGAAATTATTCAATCCATTGGAAAGAATTATTACTCAGACTTCAATTCTATTATTCGTGCATACAATACATTAAAACGTATGTTCGAAACATACAATTTCATTTCAATTAAAAGGGTATACTTATTTTCAGGAGGGACAAGTTTTTGAGTTTCCCAAATTTTTTTCTATAAAGAAAAAGCGAAAGCCAAAAAACTTTTTTCCCATAATTAATATAATTTTGGAAACATTCGATACACATTCAAAAACTTACTTCAAATGAAAAGATTATTTCTAGAAAAATAGAAATATTTACATTTTAGTATTCGGAGATTTTTATTGTTAGGGAATGTATACAGAATTACATAGGGTTAACACATACTAACTAGTTCAACTGGTTAGGTTAGCTTAGGTCCAAAGTGAGTGGGTCAATTCGACCCTACACCGAAACCCACAAGGGTTTATTGTGGCTCACACCTATTCACACCCACCTAAACCCAGCTTCTTAACGAAGCCGATTAGTTTTTATCGTGAGTGGTCCTTTAGGTCAGATGGTAAAAGTACGGCTATGACAAACTCTGAAAACCTGATTCGGTCCCCAGCAGGGCAGACACAAAGTATGTGCTCTTCTGTTTCATTATTTTCCAAACAGAGGCGATCAGACAGTCCGAGTCTCTGCATATGATGATTCAAATGACAGTGACCTGTAAGACATTGTAGTTCATCCCTACTATAGTCCATCAACTGTTTGGTATCAAGCTTGGAAGGGTGAATAAACGCCTTGGAGTGAGCCAATCCTGGAAGATTCTGCCAGAAGTCCATAAATCTTTTTGCCATCCAGGTGTTCAGTGTTTGTTTGGCAAAGCCCAAAACGATGTCAGTGACAGGTTCTGGTCCGATGAAGCTGCTTGCAGCTCCCTTCTTTGCAAGGGAGTCAGCAGCCGCATTGCCTTCCAGACCGGTATGGCCAGGAATCCAGAGGTTCAACTGGTTAGAACTGTTATTGAATATTACTGGATATTTTTATTTGACAATTCCTGCGACATTAAATTCTCATAATGACACTCAGATTAATTCACTAATTTTCATCAAGTCTAAATTACCTTCGGGCTCTATCCAACATTTTCTAAAGCTATTAAAAAATATCTGTACTCGGTTAAGATATTTATTCAACTTGATAGTTACAACATATGTGTAAAAAAATTGATATATTGCCATGTCGATAATTTACATTAATATTATTAACCGATTTCTGAAAATAATAGAAGTTTTTATATATTTTCTTCCTTTCCTTAATTTATCACACAAAAAATTGTGCCATACCATAACTATTTATATGGTCACAGTTCTTCAAAAGCATATGATCCACAACTTCGTCAAACTTCTCACGGTATGCCTTATGCCAAGAGAATTTGTATTATGGTATTTTGAATTTTAACAACTTCTGTAATTCAGAATATGAATATCTGCATATGAGTATTTTGTTTGCTTTATTGATTATTCTGGTTTTTTTCATATGCGATATATAAGTCTTCTGATAAACCTCCACTTTCATGTAAATAAAACTAATTTGAAATGTTATAAATTATATATTTGGATATTTACTCTCAAACATATAGATTAATAAATACCTATTTTTGCATAAATGTCCTGCTATCAGGTTGTGTTACCATATATCAATAAACTAATAAAAGTTAATTCAATGCTCTAAAAATGTCCAGTCTTTTTACTTTCCATATTTGTTTCAACTATTTCATTCATAAATAAAAATTAGAATAAAATGAATCACGAAATGAACCTATTTCTACACATAAATTTCTTTCATGCCACTAATGCTATGGGATTTTGAAAATAATATAATATAAATTCCTAACTTTGATTTTTCCCATAAACTAATTATATATTTCCAATAATCCAATGAATATGAACCTTTGATCTACCTACTTATTAAATTATTACTATTAAACAGTATCTAACCCCCTGTAAACTACAAGTTTCAAATAAAAAAAAACATATTCAGTACTCGATCTACTCCTAAAACCTCCAAATAATATATAGAATGAACATCCATCAGGTATAGGTCATAAAAAAATAAGAAACAATATAAAACAAAAGTACAGTTATCAACAGTTTTACCTTATTCAGAAAAGTTATAGTTTGATTTGATCTATAACTATTTGATTTGGATAAACTTTTTTCACGTTATAGGCGAGTTCTTAAATTCATTCGCGAGACCATCAATTGATCTGATAGATTCATCTATCGGTCCACTCAAAATATTAGCATCTTTCAGTGGTTAAAGCAAACTATCGGAATTTTTCTGTTGAATTTAAGAACTTGCCGTATTATACAAATATGTCAGAGATTCCATAATACTTTTACTTTGTGGATTCTTCAAACCTTTCTTCTTAAAACCACTACAAAGCGGCCAAAAAAATTTTTTTATAACAAATAAAGCTCATTTTCATATCCGTCAAGTCAGATATTGATACAGCTGCTTTCTCAAAAGTGACACACGTATTTTGTTTGAAGGTGGTTGACAATGTTTCGTGGCACATTTCATCAGTTCGGACTTCCATTGTCTCATATGATATAAATTGATTTGAAATCCCTGAAAGAATCTGTCAAAAAATTAAAAGATTAGCTGAAAAAACAATTTTATTAAGAAAAAAACTGAAATTACAATCAAGCAACACTATCCGAAACAGTCTCACTAAAACCAGACCACCAAAAATGCTGACTGCGATTCCAAGAATTGCATTTACCGGATACCGGAAACACACATAGCGAGGAGAAACCAGCAAATCCGGAATAGCAGAGCATGTTTGGACTCATCAACATAACATCAAGTGGGCGCAGGCTGAAATCATCCACAAGAGGGAACACTGGTCTAAGAGAAAATTCAAAAAAGCCGCATATATGTTGTCCAACAATGCATTTAGCCAAGCTAGCGTAGAGATCCGTAACATATGGAAATCTCTAATTAAGGGGAACACGCCAAAAGGTCAGCTCCCGCTAAAAACCAATGAAGTAGAGAGAGAGAGAGAAGAGGGGATAGGTGAAAGCAGTCGAATGACCTATAAATAGTCAGATCTCGAAGGAATAAGTCCATTAACCGATCGCGAAAGAAAAGCACCTAAAGGCTGGCTTTCGAACAAAAGAGGTCAGATGTCAATCTTGCTGAAGTGCCCATCAGTAAGTTGAGGACCGCTCGGAGAGCGGGGGTGGATGGAGTGGGGTAGTAGGTTCTCCTCGCTAACTAGCTGGGGGGGGAAGCTTCTACTTCAGGGCACTCAACCCGGGAGGGGGCATGGGGAATAAGTCCAGTTATCACCCGAAGACGATTGTGGATACTAACAATCGAAATGTCGTGAAGTAACTTGGTTTGGAATTTTTTAATTTTCTATTTTTAATTTTCATTTCTTGTTAATAATTTTTTTTTCATTTTTCAGCTCGTGTCAATAGTTCAATTGTTTTGGTTTTTTTTTTGGTTGTTGCTTGTATGTTATTTCATTGTAATTTCAGTTTTTTGCTTAATAAATTGTTTTTTCAACTAATCTTTTTAATTTTTTTACAGATTCTTTCAGGGATTTCAAATCAATGTATATCATATTAGACAATGGAAGTCCGAACCGTAAAATTACACACGTAGCATAATATGTATATCTTACACAGCGGTGTCTGGTAAGTCTATTCAGCAAAACCTGGTTTCTGAAATCTCTACTTATTTATCGAACGAAACAGGAAAGCAGAATTAAAAAAAATTAAAATCCCAAGTATTGAGTGTGAACATTAGGTGTTATATATCTTCCAACAAAACCCTCAACTGATAAGATAACAAAATGAATAAAACTTTGTATTGACACATTTCATAACTATCGATTTGAAAATTGAAGATGATTTTATCAAAAAATGATCTTACTTCTTGTCGAAACCAATTCAGCACTTAGATAATAAAGATCTGAAGTAATGATGCCTCCTAAACATAACATGTAACAAGTTGAATGCCTAAATAACTAGCTGTTTATGTAATTATATCAAATAATTTTCTAAGATGACTCGCTCACTGTGCAATAAAATTGTGAATATGTCAAAAGCATTTTCATAAAGTTACATGAACACTGTTTCTGTTTCAAGTGATTGAAGCAATTTAAAAGTTTGTAATTAGTAGAAGGATCATAATCATTGTTTTCAATAGAAACTTCAGAAATTATCAGCATAATTCCACTCATTTCTGGAACCTTCACAAATGGATCTTAAGAAAGTATACACTAACCGACCACGTACAAAATCAAAATATCAAGCATATAGCCTTACTCCAATGTATTTACAAACGTGAATGAGATTTTTAGATTACGTGGTATGAAATTCTCATAGTTACGATATTTCTTTTCTTACTCCAAATGATACTAATTACAAATTGTTACCTTAATCAATGTTTCAATGAGAACATTGGAAATTGAGACCTGTGCATTAAAAAGTCATTTTTTTAAACGAAATATTTAGTTTCGATTTGTAATCTTAGCCATAGAGCACTTTGTATATCAATTATATATCTAGTTCAAACAAATCAAACTATATATGCATACAAAACAAAGACTACTTCTGAATTATTTGATACTGACCAAGTACAAAAATATTTTACCAAGTCAGAAGTGATAGAAACTTATGCAAGAACTCCATTGCAAATTTTCATATGCAAGTTCAGTGAGCCTCTTGAAATATACCCCCCATTACAAAACTGACAAACATAAGGCCTCTCTCCAGTATGACCACGAACGTGAATTCTCAAAGAGGCTGCTTGATTGAAGCACTTGGTGCAGTATTCACATGGATAGGGTTTTTCTCCTGTATGAACCCTCTCATGCATTACCAAGTAGTCTTTTTTAGTGAATTTCTTTTCGCAGAATTTACAAGCAAAAGGCTTGTCTCCTGTGTGAATTCGGTAGTGTATTTTCAGTTTGTCTGAAGTACCAAAACCTTTGCCACACATATCACACAGATGTCGCTTTTCAGGCTTGTCCATACTACCTGAGCTGTGTTTTGTAGTTATATGTTTTAGCAGCGTTGCTACCTTGCTGAAAACTTTCATGCAAATACTGCACTGAGTTTTATGAAGAGTACCTTCTATATGAACAGTGTGATATCTTGTTTGATGAATTAGCATGTAACGAGAATACACAAAGTCCTTATTACAAACCACACAAATAAATGGTTTAATTCCCAAGTGCTCATTGTTGTGTTCTTTGAAAATAACAGAGTCATTAAAACCCTTACCGCAAGTCGGACAAGTATAGTAAAACTTGTGGTAGTGAACTCTGTTGATATGAGTTTGCAAACAAGTCCGCCTGGGGGTGTTGTAGTTACACAGGGGGCATGTGTAGGTGTCATCTGTACTGTGGATCTTCATGTGAACTGCAAAACTATAGGCTTTCTTTGAGGTGTGTTTGCAAACTTCGCAAGTATAAAACTCTTCATGGATTTTCGAAATATGAGTTTCAACTTCTTCTTTCGTTTGATACTCTGCTGAGCACGCCGTACAGATGTAGAGATCCTGCTCTTCGTCGAACTTGAAAGCCGGCGCATCCTTCGGTTCCTCAGGGTGGTAGGTTTTAGTGTGATCTGTGAGATCTCGACGAGAGTCGAATTCTTCCAAGCATCGCCTGCAAGTCCATATCTTGTGTTCCTGTTTTTTAACCTTCTTGGTGGATTTGGTAGGTTTCCTTTCTTTTGCTGTTGGTAACTTTTTCTTTTTCACCCCTGGTGGAGTGTATTCATCGTCTTCCTCCTTATTCCTCTTCTTTAAAGGAGATAACAATTTTTCAGGAGTTTTGACCTTTTTCTCTTTTTGATAGGCATTTCCAATATTGTATTCAAATTCATCCACTTTCATTTCTACTTCAAAGTCGGGGAAAAACCTAAAAAGAAAATAATTAGTAAATATATTGTAATGCAAATATTTATACTCACAGGAACTACTTTATACTTTAGCAAAGTTACACCAAATATTTTCAGAAATATATATCTCAATATTCAACCGTAAAAACAAGTTAATGGAGAGAAATTAAAACACAAAATTCACTTCAGAAATTTTGCACATACCCATCAAGTATTTATTGGGAAAATTAGGTTTTGGCTTCGTTATTCTCCACTTTATACAAAAAAAAAATGTTGGAATCAGATAGAAATGAAGCCTTTTTTTTAAAAAGATGGGGAAGAAGAAAGCCAAAACCTTTCTTTGCCCAAAATAAATCACTCCTAAAAAATATTGCCCTTTAAATTCAAGTATTTATTTATACAGAATGTTTGTTTCAAAGAAATGTCATTGTGACCTCATTGTAATTGTACTGAGTTATGTGACTTTTTCCATTACTTCTCTAGGTCTACGGAAATAAAGATTTTTGATTTTGATTTTGAATATCCTCATTTCACATACGAAAGATAGTGAATAAACAATATATAAACACTAAGTGCATTACACTAATAACGTAATATATAAAAAAAAACAATATTGGAACTTTAATAGGTAAAAGGCAGTTCAATATATTAGTATATTTTACCAGAAAAATGACAAATTGTAATCAGTTTCGAACATTTTTGGAAGAATATAACAGTAATTCCACTGTAATTTCCACGCATTTTCCACTTATTTCTCAGTTACATCTTCAGGAATCGATTTTTCCCAGGATTTTTTGAGCCAAGTTTTTTGTTACAGAATCCTGAGAAGTATTTCGTTGAGATTTCTTTTTGACTGTTGTACCTGTCAACACAATTTTTTTTCTTTTTCTGCCTTTAATGTGTCACTTTCATTTTTTACGTTTAGCTTGAAATTTTGAAGACTTTTCCACAAATGCCACGTTGTTATTTGTTCTCGCCAATATGAATAGGCATTTGCAATCGCATTGTTGCATACTTTACATTTCCCTGTAAGATCTTGGGCGAGGTGACATTTATAAAATACTCTGATAGCGACAATTTTTCAATGCAAATTTACGTCACATGAATAGTGTTTGATATCTAAATAAATTTCATCGTGAAAAAGCTATACTGCTTTATTTAGAAAAATATTGCCACAAATTTCGCAAAAGCGATCTTTTAATATGAACTTCCAGATAGCTCTTGCTTTTGAACAGGAACACCTTCCAGAATGTTTCTCTATATGATAATTTGTGTGAGCTAAAGATAAACCAGGTCTTACCTTTTAATGTGATTCCTAGCCTAGCGGTCATTGGACAAAGATTAGTAACGGTGCAACCCATAATGACACTCGCTAGAGCAAGACATACACAGATTACATATCAAATCCCTCAGATATAAACTCATCTTTGAGTAGGAAGCTGGATTTAAATCCATAACTGATCGAGCAAACATTACTCCACTGAGCTCGGTTTTTGATAATAGTAATTAGTGAATAATTTTCAACTGTAAACTTCATATCAACAGTAATTAATTTATTGCACCAAATGCTATCATTTGTTAATACAATTATTCTTAATGTTTCGTCAATGAAAACAAATTACTGAGTATAAGTAACTAGAACACTTCTCTATAGCAGTCATTCCTCTTTCACAAATATAATAAATTCCAAAAAGTTTCAAAAACATTTTCATTCTGTGAAACTATCCAACAAGAGCAAAAACCTATTTATTGATATCAAATAATGTGTTTTGAAGTACGTGTCAAGAGCCCATTCGAATTATAAAATAAATGATACTTGACAGAATAACACTAGTTTTTATTGTTTTTTTCATACAAGTTGAAACCAGTGATAACAAAGGTGTAACAAAAAAAAAACTGGAACTTTAATAAAATACGGTTTGATTTACAATAAAAATATATTTTAGATAAAATGTGATGCAGACTGTGTACAGCTACAAGTCCCTAAAAATATAACAATTTGAAATAACTGGAAGTTTTAAACATTTTTGGAAGAGTATTGGGTAATTTTATAACATATGAGTGGAAATTACAACCTTTACAATAACTATCATTATTTTCACAATTCGTTCAACACAAAACATTGAACCCGCTATAATAAAAACATATTTTGATAAAGAATGGGAAATGTCATATAGGATTGAGAATATGCCATTTTCGATGATCGCCAAGAAATGACATTACAATGGTTCTTTACATTCAAGAATTCTATTTGCTAAGACAAAATTAATGTAATACATTTCCAATTCTTTTCCATCAATACCACAAACCATAAATAAACTGTAAAATAAATAAATATCCTATCTCTGACATCAAAGTGAGTTGAGACAACTTTTAATGTGGGCGTTTAGAGCCCCTTTTGATACGCATCCAGTACTGCAATGAGGGCACTTGTATGGTCGTTCCCCAGTATGAGTTCGCATGTGTATCCTCAAAGGAGCTCCCTGATTGAAACTTTTTCCACACTGGCCACAAACATAAGGTTTTTCACCGTTATGAATTCTTTCATGCATTATCAAGTAGTCACGTTTGATGAAACTCTTGCTACAGTAAACACAAGAATAGGGCTTTTCACCAGTGTGCTTTCTGTAATGGATCTTTAATTTGTCTGTTCTTGAAAATCCTTGACCACAAACGTCACACAAGTGTTTCTTCTCGTGAGGCCCTTCATGGTAAGTTAAATGTTTGGCTACAACATGTTTGACTAATGTTTCGTTTCTAGCAAACATCTTCGGGCACATATGACATTGCGTCTTCGAATCTTTATCTAATACACGCACTCTATGGTTTCGAACTTGATGAGCTATGAGATATCGAGAATAAATAAATTCCCTGTTGCAAACAACACAAATGAATGGTTTTACGCCTAAGTGAAAATTTTCATGCTCTTTAAACGTTGTAGCATCATTAAAACATTTTCCACAAGTACGACACTGAAAGTCATACTTCCTATAATGCATGCGTTGGATATGAGTCAACATGGCAGATTTTCTACCAGTAATATGGTTACATAATGGACAAGGAAAACTTTTGTCTTCTCTATGCGTTTGCATATGGGCAGAAAAATGTAAGGCCCCATTAACTGTTTCATTACATATTTCACACTCATACTTTTCTTCATGGGTTTCCATATGCTTTTCCACTTCTTCCCTCGTCTGGAATTCTGCTGAACAATTATTACAGGTGAAGAATTCAAGATTTTCATCAAAAGTGTATTTTTCAGAATCAAATTCTTCTTTGATTGTGTCTTCAGTGAATTCGTGTACAAACTTTCTATGGTCAAATAGATTTTTTCTTGTGCTAAACTCTTCAAAACATATTTTACACACCCAAGCCCTTGCTTTATGGTTGGGTTTCAATTTAGGTATGTACTTGCCCGGTTTTTTCATTTTCTTTTCCTTAGGTGATGTTTTCAATCCTTCATTTCTCAGCTTCGCAGGTTTTAGTTTCTTTATTTTAATTTTTGGCACTACCCATTCTTCATCTCCACTTTTGATATCATCCCTAAAAAATGAAGAAATGTTGTCTGACACAAATACTATACTTATAATAAAGATATTTTGCCAAAATTGTGAAATTTTCAATAGTAAAGCAATCTTGGCTATACTCACTTGAAATAAATTTTAATTCGATCAGGAAAAAATTATATGACATTCTTCTCAAACTGTTTTTAAAGAGTACAAAAAAATAATGCATAAGCCTCGTAAAATGCCTATGAATAAAATAATAGAATACGTACCTACATACAAAATGAAGTCAGTTAGTGTAAAAAACTGAAGTATTACAAATATCTGCTCTAACATTTTTGAAAGAATCAGTATCTATCGTCTCAATATAAATAACAACTACAATTTTTTCAGTATTTAAAAGATTTACTAAAACTTATAGATAATGTCTAAAATCTTGAAGATAGTCAATTCATGTATGTTTTAAAAGTATAACGTGAGTTGATTGAATAAAACAATTTTCCAAAATTCTTTATTAAAACAATTTATTCACATCTTTTACAGATTTTGATACATATCTTTAAACAGGTCGAATACAAATATCAAAATGTTATTCAAACATTATAAAAAGATCTTATAGGCAAAACCAATCATTATTATCAAATCAAAACCAAGTTCAAAAATGAGTAAAATTGTTGTAAGAGATTCACTATGAGGTTCAAAAAAGTTTTAGTCAAATTTCGTCATTTTAATAGTGAGAGATTTATGATATATGCTCAATCGCTTGTAAAAGATTATGAAACAAATATAAAACTATCCCAAATTAGTTGAAAAGATTATGAAACAAATATAAAATTATTCCAAATTAGTTGAACCTATATGGAAGTGATTCATTACCGAACTTGAAATCCGCATCTACAAATTCTTTAACGTTTTCCTCTTCTTTCACTGTTGCTCGTTCTTTTAATAAGTCATGCATCGATTCATGTTTTTCCCAAGATTTTTTTAATGAAAATTTCGCGTCACAAAATCCACAGCAATATTTTCTTGTGATTTCGCTTGGAGTATAGTTTCTACTAACATGTTCAATATTTCTTTCATTTTGTTGTCTTTCATGTGTCACTCTATGGTTTTTCCAATATTTAAAGGCTGCAAAGGCTTTTCCACATATGTCACAGCAGTATTTCTTCTCTCCAGTATGAATACGCATATGCAGCTTGAGGTTATAGTTGTTGGCAATCACTTTTTTGCATACTTTGCATTCTACAGTAAGATCTTCTCCAAGATGATGTACAACACTCTTATGACGACGAAGACTTTTCTCGAACGTGAATTCCCTATCACATATATCACATTTATAAAGCTGATCAATTCCGTACAATTCTTTCTTGTGGTTAAGCATACGGTGAATACTCACATACCTCTGTACAGAAAATTTTTTATTACAAATGTCACAGGGAAAGCGTTTGACATCAAAGTGTATTTCCTCGTGAGCAGTCTGTATTGCTCTACTCAGAAAACCCTTGCCACATATTTTGCAATAGTGGGTAAACTTGCCTTCGTGTCTCCTAATATGACCTTTCATGGAACTCTTGCTGTTCGTACTGAACTGACACATTGGACAGGAATACTCTCCAGAATGTTTCATTGAATGGACAGCAAAGTCAATTGCAACTTTGAAACTCAAACCACAGTCTCCACAAGTATAGATGTTCCTCAGATGTAGTTCTTTATGTTTCTCTAGTTCTTCCATTGACCTGAACGAAGCACTACAAACATTGCAATGTTTCTCACCATGACTGGCCACGTGCTCGGACATATTCTTAGCCTTGACTAGTTTACCACAAATTGCACATAAACATGGACGAGCGGTCGTTCTTCTTCTTTTTCTAACAGATGCACTACTTCTGGGTTTACTCACATCACTCTGGTCATCTAGTTCATCCATAATTGTTCCGTTTACGTATAGAACATTTGATGGAATATTACTTTTTGTTTCGATTGTTTCCATTAAAGAGTTGTCCGCATCGTGTGGTTCAGATTTTATACTAGAGTTCAGGGTAATTATAAAATCATTTATGTCAATGTGGCCAAAATCAACGGGATAATCTTCAGTATCATCATCAACAACGGTAATTACAATCTCTTCTAGAACATTATCCTTTAACTGGTTGTTCCTAAAATTACAAGGTGTTAATAACAATGAAATAAATAAAAAACAATAAAAAAACAATGAAAGAAATAATAAATTAACTGTAAATGAAAATAAAATGTATAAAATTGTGTTTCAAATAATGAGAAAACAAACGAATCAATAATAAACAACCTTTTATTATTTTATCAGAAAATTAAATACAAAATAATACATATGATAACAACACATCTATTACCAACCTATATACATCTATATCCATAGTCTATTACAATTACCCTACAAAAATGTTTTCTACTGAACATTAATATATTTTTTAATGTAAGAAGGAAACATAAAGAACACAGTAAAAATTCATAAAAAATTGATTTATATAAAAAAAATGTAAAATTTTAAATATGATTTAATGCTTTCTCATTTGGTAATATTTTTGTTAACTCAATTTCTCCTGGCTTTTGAAAACGTCCATAAGTACATGGCTTCGTGAAATTAGTTTTTCTGTTTTATTCTTGATGAAATCCCTTTTCTTTAAAGATTTATTATCGACAAAAGAATCACTTCAACAGAATTTGTTCCCAAAAGTGGAAGTCCTCAAGACACATAAAAAATTGATCCAAAAACAGTAAATATAAAACCAAAAATGTTACTTTATCAACCTTTTCTTGGGGTCAACAAAAAAAATTATTACCTCCACAAAAAATGTCTTTCTGTCAATAATCATTTACTTTCATGAAAGATAAATTATTTATATTTCTTGTCAAAATAATCATACTTAATATATAATCATTATTTTACAATTCCCAATTCGTCATTTATAAATGTGTTCTTGTTGTTACGCCTACTATTTAACCTAACCTCGAAAATATTATAGTTTATTTTTCATGAAAAAATCAATTACTTATATTCCATGCCAAAAATAACATATTAACGTATTTGTTTTTAAATAAATACATAATTGCACTAAAATTGATAAATGAAAAAACCCAGTATAACAATGATGAATAATATCTAACTGTGACCACTCGAATCATCACACTGTCACATTTCAAATGTGAAACCTGCCTGATATTCATAGGCTGTTAAATTGTAGGAATTTTTCAAATATAATAAATTGATACGTATAACTAAAACACTGGGGTATAATGAATACAACAAGAACACTTTTTTCCAGAACTGTAATACCCTTGTGTTACTTCTGGTGTGTGGAATTAAGATATCATTTTACTCAAAAGTCCCCATCAATCAAATTCTCCCTTGAAAATAAATTCAAAAGTAAGATCATAAATTATAAAACTCGATATATGTTCATTCACTGGTCACGGTTTTTACATATGAAAATATTTCTCTTTAATGGTATTTCAACTACCTACCACCATCACATTAACTTACTGATACAACTGGCAATATACACCTCGGCAAAAATACCATCACAACTCAAAAAACCAGTTTTAAAATTCAGTAAAAATCAAGTCTACTTTGTTTGGAAAGGGTAACTAATACACCATGTAGCTTTATAACTGAGGAATTGGGTTAGATTTTGATACATTTCACATTGGTACTCTTATATTTCGCGAAAACTAACATTTTTGAACTAAGATATTACTTTGGCCGGAAGGGGGAGGGCAAATATGTTAATCACATTTGTTCCTACAAAAACACTTTACTAAGATTTCTCTGAATCTTAATGTAATAATCTGACAAATGTCAAATTTTAATTAGAAAATCTGACTGACCCTTTATGTTTTTTACTGATGTGGATAAATCTATAAAATAAATAATTACTACATCCTTTATGTTCTATAAGTTTCACAGAGCAACAAAACATAATTAAATACATTATCTGCCATACAAACTCAATATGTCCTGGTTTCAAAAACAATTTACACATTAGATAAACGACATTGCACATTTATTAACAGTAGTTCAGTAAACATTTCAATTTTCAGATATGTGACAAGATCAAAGTAAACATATTTACTTGAACAGCTACTAGGAAATACACCGGGTGTGCAAAATTTCATGTCCCAGCTAATATCTTTGTCATTTGAAAAGATAGAGATTTGTACACAGAACCAATTCAAATGGGGATAAAATTACTCAAAATTTTTACTTTATAAACTACTCTTCCTTTGTCTCTAAAAATGAGCTTGTAATTCTGAATTCCATGATACACTGTATCCTATTTGTATATCTGTCTGGAAGAGTCCAAAATTTAAGAAAAAGTTAATAATGTCTTACTACAAAATATTTCTCCATACAAAATTTGTCAGATCATTCTTTAATTTGACCAATCTTACATTTTTCATTCTTACATGGATAAAAAAGTAACTTTAATGAATTTACTTGGATAAAGTTATCAAAACGTTTCCAGAAGAATGTGATTCATTCAACAAAACAAATATCCTTGACGAAAAATCGCCAGTGATAGACTATGAGTAAACATGTCAAAAATTCTGAAAACACAATTTTCACACAATCCAGGAATTGAATTGATATCCCAATATCAGTTGTTAAAAAAGATTGTCAAAAACTTATTAGAATCATGAGACAACAAATGATGAAACACAAAGGTAAAATAAAAGACATAGCCATAACAATTATTAATATTCAAATAATTCAAAAACCAAAAGTCAAGATTAATTAGAAAGTTGAATGAACAGATCAAAATTCAATCAATATCATCAATCAAACTTTATCATTTATCAAAAATACAACAAAATAGTTGGATTAATGATAAACACAATGATTAACATACCACAAAAATATTACATCAGTAATACATTGTATGTAAAAACTTGGAAAAATGAAATCGAGTGAAGCATCTAATATTTTATATACTCTTTGCCCAAGATGAGGAGGGTCAAATCAAAAACCATGAGAGATATAAGGTAGGTTAAAGTTGAACAAAATGCCCATTTCAGAGTTCATTTAAATGACGTTTTAGGAATGTACGAAATTCAAATTAGTTCCAATTTTATTTTAATTTTCTATGGCGTTAAGATATTAAAAAATAAAAAAATGCCACTTTTCAAACTGTTCAAAATGGCATTTACAGATTTTCAATCTAACGTTTTGTCTCCGATAATCCATCAACAATTTCCATTTTTATATAGACCAGAAAAAAGAATCACACCATTATTATATCACCATAATTATTTATAAAATTTCAAAATGTAATTTAAATAAGCTCTAACATGGATAAATTTTTCCTGAATTCATTAACTTTTATATCTTATGGTTAACGATTTTTCCATATTGACCCTTCTTATCTTGTGACACATTGTATAATAACCAGTTCCAATTCAAAATACACACAGTCAAATGAAAATAGTAGAAAAATATATTTAGAAACAATTCTGACAGGATAATACCTTCTTTACCCCAGTAGCTAGAAATTCGTCGGTAACATATCTGAAAATATGATTTTCACACCAATACCCAATACCAACGCAAGACTTTCAAAAAAAGCTAGAAATTATCATGTCTTACAACCAACCCCTTGCAAGATTTCAAATGAATGTTCAACATCGCCTTGGCGACAAAAGCTTTAGTGCAAAACTGGCAAACATAAGGCCTTTCACCTGTATGTCCTCTCATGTGTATCACAAGACTAGATCTTTGGGAGAAAGCTTTGGTGCAGTAGTCACATATATAAGGACGTTCTCCAGTGTGGATACGAGTATGCTCAACCAATATTGGTTTCTTAGTGAAAGATTTTTCGCAGTAGGTGCAGCTGTATGGTTTATAGCCCGTATGAATCCTAATATGGAACTTGAGCTTTTCTTTGCTTGATAGCATCTTACCGCAGATATCACAGATGGAAAAATTACCTGTGTGGGAGTTCATATGTAATTTCAGGCTATTTTTGTGCTGGTACTGCTTTTTGCAAATGACACATTCATGCAGGGTGGGGAAGATCATATCCTCCTTATGCATATTTATCTTGTGAGCATGGAGGTAACGAGAATACAAGAAACATTTTCCACAATACTCACAATCGAATGGTTTCAATCCAGTATGGTAATTGTCGTGCTCTTGAAACCAAGGAAGAATTTGGAATCCTTTTTTACATGCTTGACACCAATACTTCAACAAATCTTCATGGTTGTTGACGTGTTCTGTGATCTTGTTTATATCGGGAGTGTTGAGATCACACATCAAGCACTGGAATAAACCAGGTTCAGAATGTATCCTTAAATGAATAATGTGGTCTAGGATTTTTTTCTGAGACGCATTACAGACTTCACAATAGAAATAGCTGTTGTGTGTTTCAACATGATCCTTGACAGCGCTGTTTGTTCGAAATTCCTTTCCGCAGATATCACATGGATGGACTTCATTGGAAAAACGAGACTGCCTCAGTCTTTTACCAGGGTGCTGGTCTTTGTAGTGTTCCTTGAGTTCTTTTGGAGTTCGCTCAGTATCGTCTTGTTTTTCTTTATGGCAGAGAGGACATCGAAACTTCCTATGATCTTCCGGAGGCATCATTGCTTTAAATTCCTCTTCCGTCAGAGGAACTATTACAGGTAATTCGATTTGGTCAACAGGTTCATCTTTAATTTCTTTCTTAATTTCTTCTTGAGCGTCATTACCTACATTTTCATCTAATGGTTCCGTTTTTATAACAATTTCATCCTTTTTGTTCTCATTCATTAGTGATTTCTTCAGAGATTTTTTATTTAAACGCCTCAAAACTTTTTTCTTTTTCTTCTTCTTATAAGAAACTGCTGTTGACCACGACGGGTCATCATCTTCATCATCATTATTTTTCTCTGTACAATCCTTCTTGCTATCTGGAGAATTAGTGACTACTTTCCTAGGTCTGCCCCTTTTTGGTTTCTCTACTTCTGTTTTACTTTCTGCTTCTGCATTTTCAGTTTCGACTTTGACATTGATTTTCTTTGGTCTCCCTCGTTTAGGTTTTATGATTTCCCCAGAAATTTCCCCTTCTTCATTTCCTTCAATTTTAATTTTGATCTTTTTAATTTTTGGCGACGATTTTGGTGTGCATGTCTTTGGGGGAGCTTCGTCTATCGTTACTATTGGTGTGAAATAATCCATAGGAAATCTGCAAATAATATATTTCTTGGTAATGAATGAATTTATTTTCCCATCTTAAAATGCTCTAGTAGACAATGAATATCATTCATTATTATTACATCAACCAAATATTTCTTGAAAGAAATTTAGGAAAAAACCTGGTAAAGGATCCCTGAAAATTTAGGTTTATGAATTGGCAACTGGACAACAAATTTTAAAAAATGTTTACAAATGATTAGTGTCCTTTTAAAAATACTTGTTATAGTCAGCATCAAAATAGCAAAACATATAAAGTACTTATACACTAATAGTATCGGTGATATGTATACAAAGACGGTGCACACAATGATTCCTAGAGTCTCTCAGATTGAATACCTGTCAATTACTGAGCAGTAGAGGAGGTTGATAAAAAACATACTTCTAGTTCTTGGTTCAAAAAAATGAAAAGAGAAATTAATTCATTATTCAAGAAAAGAGAATGTATAAGTTTGAAAGTGTCCTTATTGGACGAAACTGCAGTAACGTTAGTTATAAATAAAAGTGGCAAAAAACATAAAATGTTTTCAGTTCTCTTTTCTTCATTATGATTTCCTACCTAGAAGTAACGGCTACATCCATCAATGTATTAATTCGCTATTTTTTAAATCAACACTTTTGTATGAATACCTAACAAAATGATACATTTGGCCCTGAATATATTGACATAAGTTGACGTCAGTTTACGGTAATCAAAATAATAATAATAATAAGTGAGTTACTAATTTACTTTTAGATTTTATAATAAACCATTTAAAAGAACATTTGAAATATCCAATATGATTTTGAAACCGTAATTTGCCTGTATATATTGTAAAATTATATTGAAACTTAGAAAAGATCCATGAAAAAGAATTGAACAAATTTTTTTCTCTCTCTTTCTTCAAACAATTTTTTTAAACGGTAGATTAGACGCCATATTTGAAAGTCAATATTTTTCAACTAATTCAGTCCTAGTAGAAATAAAATCAAAATTGTATATGGTAAACTTAATAGCCGTCACCCGAACATCTGTTAATGAAAATTATTTAGTATTTATAAAATGAAATTGAAAAATTGTTAGCGGAACTGAAGTAAAAAACAGTGGTTAAAGACAGATCACTAAGATGATCGAAAACGATGGCAAATAGATACGTTGAAAAACTATATATTTACAAAAATAATAAGTATAAAACACTCTGTTTTCTATACAAAATCTAGTTCTTTTTTTTGTGTTGATTCATCTGCAACCAGACGATTTTATTTATCCTCTGAATATAATATAGTAAAACCTCTATCTCTCATAGAGATTCAAGTTGATGAAAAATTGTATAGATTTTTAAGGTTTGAATTCTGCTTTGAGTGACTATAACTATTGCGAAAAAAACATACTCCTAATCGAATTTAACATTATCTACTACCATTAAAGAACAACGATCAGATAGATCAATGCATTTAGTTATTTATTGCATGCATTTTATTGGATTACTGATGTTTCGGCTGGAGCCCCAACCTGCTTCAGAATTGTTTTGTTCAATATTGATTTTCATCAAGTATTGGCGAATTCCATCACATATGGTGCCTATCTTTCACTCTCAATGGTATTGGCTTATCAACTGCAATAAACTACCTGGTTTAATCCCATTGTGTAGTGTAGTGTAATATTGTGATTCTCTTCCCTTCATTTGATTCGGGTTTTACAACTCAAGGTCTAATTGGTTTTATTGTTCAACCAATACCAAATACCGCGAAGTCTACTACACCACAAATATATGGGTTGAAAATGATTCTTGAAGCAGCCCCCCCAAAAAAACTTCAAAAAACGACTTGTGCGAGCTGTGGAGTAATGGGGTCTTACATATGAACATATGAACAATCCTCATGACGCACTTGCTCCACACAAGTTACGTATCGAGGCCCAAAGCAGGAATCAAACCTGCATCAACAGTTATGATTACACAAGAGGAACTCACTAACGTACTGGATACCAATTGATCAAATAAAAAATGTCAGGAATTGATCTGCATGGAATTTTCTGGAAATGAATCTTTTGCACCATCAATCTTAGCAAGCAAACATTATCATAAATAATGACTAATAAAATTTCAGCTGAGATGATGGTGGTGAAACATGTCCAAAAAACACCTTCAAGATAAATGCCCTAAAAAATAATTCTACATATTGTATCCCTGCAATCTACAAAAATACCAGCTATGTTGAAGCGGTTCTTTTCTCAGGCGATCCTTCCATAAAGGTTTACTCCCATTTTCATTTTCGTGGAGTACTTTCCATGTTTCCATGTCAATGATTCTGGTTCGTTGATTCATGTCTAGTATACTCATCAACTTTTTCATTTCCCGTGATCTAAAATCTCCAACGTCAAATGTATCTATTGAAAACGCTTTTCCCTCACCAGAACAATGAGCGAGAGAAAGCATTTTTGTTCTGATGAGGTAAAAGTGTTTTTTTAATGGTTTAATAAACCGAAATCGGTCATAACAAATAAAAATCTTAGTAGAAATTAGACAAAAGTTATTTTCTTTATCCTATAAAAAATATGTATTTCTACATGGATTCTACACAATTGCATATGCAGATGACATAGTTATCTTGCAGACCGGCAAATTTGTGAACACACTGTGCGATAGAGCGCAGCCGTGTCGATCAATCCCAAGAAGACTGAGATGGTCCTTTCACCAGGTGAAGAATTTTATCGGACTTAAAACCTCCCGAAATCTTCAAAAGCAAACTAAATTTCTCTGAAGAGGTGAATATTCTCGACAGGAAGCTAACATGGAAATCTCACCTAGAGAGTAGAGCAAAAAGAGCATATGTGGCGTATGAGCAATGTCAGGGGACAGTGGGACGCGCATGGGGTGTTTTACCCCATATGGTAATCTGGATCTACAGTGCAATAATAAGACATATGTTAATGTACAGAGCCAATGCATGGGCACCAAAAGTTCTATACAAGCAACAGCCCTCCAAAAATTATATCAAATACAGCGACTGGCTTGTTTAAACATCACAAGAGCCATGAGCACAACACCAACCGCGGCAATGGAATTAATTACGGGTCTGACCCCTCTAGATCCGTACGTTAAAGAAGTTGCGTTAATGGCCATGTTATGGTGGGCCAATTGAGGCTGGGCCTATGGCGAGAAGCGCTAACTGCGCAACCTCCGTTGCAGGCAACCAGTGATGCAATTGAACCCAGGTTTATGTTTAATAAACCCTACAAAATACAAATAAAACAGGACAGTCAGATGCTATAAATGCAATACGCATATATACAGATGGCTCAAAAACAAAATAAGGCTCAGGATGTGGAGTGTACTCCAGATCACAAAGCCTAAGAATTAAGTGGGGAATGGGGAAAAATACCAGCGTGGTACAAACAGAACTGGCTGGTATCTCAATCGCCACAAAAGAAATAACCAGGAAAAGAATTTCTTGCAAAAACTCAACAATCTGCACTGAGAGCAGACAAGTCCTATTAGCCTTGAACAGACAGCGTGTTACCTCAGGGCTAGTACTAGAGTGCCACCAAGATTTAGCCAAAGCCTCGGTATATAATAAAATTATTCTGAGGTAGGTTAAAGGGAACGACAGGAGTAAAGGTAATCACATTTTCGACTCTTTAGCCAAGGAAGCGGCTGGACTAAGAATTTTAGGACCCAGTGGCATCTACGGCCTGAAGACTTCGACAATTGCGGAACTAGCCAAATGTTACACCCATGCTCAATCCCTATAGAGATGGGATGGACTCAAAGGATGCAATCTTGCCAGGATCACCCTGGGCGACCGTGAGAAGCTGGCGCCGAAGAAGAAACAGTAGGAACAGTAGGCTAGTGAACACACCTTTATGCAGGATGTGTGAACAGGAAGATGAGACTGTCAGGCATGCCCTACGCGAGTGCCCGGAGTTATCGTCAATAAGAGAGTGTGTCTCCCAGTGATGTGTCCACCTTCCTGGAAAGGACAGGATGGACGATGACCTCGGAAGACAACTCCTCGGGAGGATGTACAATGGGTCACATGTTGCCTAAGTGTCGTGGGCTTACACTCACCCTCTCCCTACTCTACAGATACAGATGTATTTCTACAAAATGAATAGGTCATCAATCGAATCATTTTGAATTCAAATAAAATTCCTATGCCTGAGATTAACTAAGTGTATGAATGCGTCATGACAAGAGCAGATTTATGAATACACTGACTGACCCATTACTTGATGAAAATCAATAACACTATCCATGATAATAATAAGGCATTTTCACAAATAACATTTTTATACTAGACGCGTTTCGCAAACACCATAGCTTCATCGGTAGTAATAGTACCCACACTGGTCTACAATTCTTATATTATAACAGTAGGTGGGACGGTAGCCTGACGGGATGACGTGGGTGGTTTGCTCCACTCACTCAATCGACTGTTGTGTGAACCGGTGGTTTAAGCCGCGAAGCCCTTCGATCGATTTTCACCTCCTATCGTCCAACCCGTGTTAGGAATCACACGTTAAAAGGTAAGACCTCGTTAGTTCTTAGCCCGCACAAGTTTCTACTTTTGAAAGTGGTCGTTCGTAGGAGGGCGACAGCTGGTTAATGGAAAAACGGATTTTAAACTGACAGGTTTTAAACAGTAGTTACCTCACTCAATAAGTTAATGGTAAATAATATAGCAGGTAGAATTTGAAAAACCATTATCATCTCAATTCTTTAACAGCAGTAAATTTTGAATATGAATAATTTTTGGCATTATGAAAAAAGGGTTAACAATGTTAAGTGGTTAACCTCTTATCGGTCGTTCAATAGGAAATTTAAATGTATGCCCTGATAGATTTCCAGAGACTCCTTCATTTTCTGTATGGAGTTTGTCATAGTTGTAGATTTGTCTCTTCCGGTGATGTTATGAAAGAAATGAGTGCATCGTCTTGTAATGTTATCCAAAACAATACTGATGAGGTGAAAAGGCAAGTGCCTCACCCTGAAACTACAGAAAACACCATAT